TGTGTGTGTGTGTGTGTGTGTGTGTGTGTGTGTGTCAGTCTTAGCCAGCTTGGGCCCAGATGTGTCTACAGCATTGCCAACATCTGGGTGAAAGGAGAAAAGTCAGCCAGCCATACAGATGCATTTGTTTCTTGTTGACAGCAGGATGGCCCCATCTGGACATCTGGGAACCACCCAGATGGACAGAGAGAGTGATCCATACACCCACATATTAAATCCTGCCACCTATGATATGAGATGCAGAGTCCAGACTTACAACTCTCCCTCAGCTAGGCCTGTCCTCACCTTGCAGATGGGAAAGAAGCTCAGAACTTGGTCACTGGGTGTGGGCAAGGGAGGGGTGTGTATGTGTGTGTATATGTGTGTAGGGCGGCAGGCTTGTGTGTCCACATGCATTTGTGCGTTGGGATGAGGGTCTGGCAGCTAGAGAAACTCTGATCTTGAAAATGAACTCCCCTGACATAACAGTTCTGCCTGAGACTGGGCCTGGAGGTGTTGCCTTGAGCAGGGAGCTGCGGAGTGAGGTGCAGTCTTCTGTGGCCCATCTTTGATTCACTGCCACTCAGGAAGCAGGCTCCTTCCAGCAAAAAACTCCTCCTGAGATCCCTGATTCTGCATCGCCCTCTAGTGGGCAACTGGAATATTTCTAAAGCGAAAGCCTTCTGACACACTTGATTGCAAGTCAAACACGTGGATTTTAGAATCTCAATTCTTTCTCTGTTCTCCCCCAGGGACCTCCAACCCAAGCCGTGGAAAAGAAAGGTACAATTTACAATCCCATTGGAAAGTGCCTGATCCCAACTCCATGAAGGCAGCTTTGGGGATGAGTGTTTTAGACTGTCACAGAAAAGACAGAACCTGGCAAGACTGGACGCAAGGTGGAAGGTGCCCAGGAACCATGGGGTTCACGGGCTTTGCCATGTGGGGCAGCTTAGATCCGAGGGGTTGAGGCCAGCCCTTCACTCCTGCCGCAGCCCAGGGCCTCTCCTCCCCAAAGCGTCTGCTAGGAGAGCTTCTGCATCTGCTGTCTCTGCTATCCACTCCCTCCCAGACAGCGACAGATGCAAACTGGGACACAGAGAAAGAGGGAGCCACATGTAGCTAGAAAATGCAGAGACAACGACGTCTGGAGCGATAAAGAACCACACGGGAATGGAAGACGAATATCCTGAGCACTCAGAGTGGTGTCTCATTTTACTTTCAATTGTGACAGAGATGTCATCAGTCCCATTTTTCAGATGAAGAAACAGACTCACAGAGGTTGCCAGGGCCATACAGCTGGGGTGTGGCTGAGCTGAGCTTCAAGTCACAACCTGTCTGATCCGCAGCACATGGCCATTCTGTGACCTCACAGACACACGGCACTGTTCCATCTCATTTCTCTGATGACTCAGTGCTTGGAGAGAAGGGAGAGACCGACAGTGTAGAGCAATGGAGGGACACTGAGGGACAAGAGAGAGGAAGAGAGAGAGAAACAGAAGAAAAGGGGCACAGATAGAGAGATGATGGGAAGACATGACACAGAGAAAGGTTGAAAACTATGCTGCTTATCTCTCCTACAGAAATAGCTTTTGGAGAAAATACACATCCAGGTCTCATCCCCAGATCTTTAGGATCAGAATTTCTGGGAGTGGGACCCAGGAATCTGCATTTAAAGAAATCTCCTTGCCCAGCCAGTGTGGCTCAGTGCATTGAGTATTATCCCATGCACCAAGAGGTCGCCAGTTCGGTTCCCCGTCAGGGCACATGCCCGGGTTACAGGCTCAGCTCTTGGTGGGGGTGGTCCCGGAGGCAGTCAACTGATGATGTTTCTCTTTCATTGANTGCATGCCCCCTACTGGGGACTGAGCCACAAGCCAGGAATGTGCCCTGACCGGGAATTGAACCATGACCTTCTGCTTCATAGGTCAGCACTCAACCACTGAGCCAGGCCAGCCAGGCTGAACCCCATGTTTTAACCATGGTACAAAATCAGCATCTAATCTATGAATAATATTGCATCTGCTATACATGCTTTCACTTAATAAAGAAATTAGTTAAGAGTAATTTAGAACATTTTAAAGCATACTTTGTTTTTCTTTTTTTTCTTTTAAGTTTTAGCTCAGAAATTCTCTTACTTTTGGTTTCAAAGGTCAATGATATCAGTAAATGCTATAAAATGTTCTAAATTACTCTTAACTAATTTCTTTATTAAGTGAAAGCATGTATAGCAGATGCAATATTATTCATAGATTAGATGCTGATTTTGTACCATGGTTAAAACATGGGGTTCAGCCTGGCTGGCCTGGCTCAGTGGTTGAGTGCTGACCTATGAAGCAGAAGGTCATGGTTCAATTCCCGGTCAGGGCACATTCCTGGCTTGTGGCTCAGTCCCCAGTAGGGGGCATGCAGGAGACAATCAGTGACTCTCTCCCACCATTGATGTTTTTCTCTCTCTCTCCCTCTCCCTTCCTCTCTCCGAAATCAATAAAAACATTTTTTAAAAGTGGGGTTCAGTGAATGTTAGGTTAAAGAGGATATAGAAAGTGACTAACTATTCATCTCCTATTACTAATAATAGCAAAAAAATTATAGAAAACTTTTCAGAAAACAGGATTATGAGGGATTTTGAATGACATCAAAACTAAGAATTAAACCAGTCTCAATACATCAAAAACTTAAAATTTGTTGGTGTTAGTGTTACCCTAAGTTGATTTATTTATAGAAAGACCAATACAGTTTTTATTTTAAGAATATAAACAAATGTACTGTTATCTAATGTGTGGCCTGAAACTCTTAAAATCTTTACCTTGCAAAGTATACTTTGAAATGCATCAGAAAAGTAAGGTACATTGATGAGTGGATAGAGGGAAGGGCAGGTGGATAATACGTCATAAAGCAAACATAGCAAAATGCTACTGAGGGCTCTAGAAAGTGGATAACACTGTTCACTGTATAATTCTCTTCATTTTCTGTATGTTTGGAAAATTTCATAATAAAATGTTGGGGGAGAAATTTCCTGAATGATTGTGATGATTAGGCGGGTCTAGGAAGGACCACTGCTGAAGGGGGAAGGCTCTCTTGGGAGACTTTTGGAGGAGCAGTTGCCCTGGAAACCTCCGCCCTACCCCTTGTGAAGGAAGTCCATCTGCCCCGCGGGGCCTCCTGTTCTGTGTGTGGCTGTCTGAGGCTGGTCCCTGCTGCAGCTGGCGCAGTCCAGTCCAGCTGGCTGGTGGTGTGGGCAGAGCTTGGAGAGGTGGGGCTAGAAGTTCTCTTGGAAGAATCTGAAGCTGAACTGCTCACAGTGGACCTTGAGCACCTTGGCCAGGGCTAGGGAGCCCCAGAAGACGACCTGCACCTCACCTTTATTTCCAGAGGCCACTTTCTGGAACACCTGGAGTCCGTGGGGTTGGGGAAGAGCAGAGGGAAGAGAGATGGGACTGTGGCCCCACCCAGTGACATGTCTACCCGGAGCTGACAGTGTAGTGGGTTAGCAGCGGCAGTGATGGCCATCTGTCCATCCCCATGAGAAATGCCAAGATCAGCTGCTTGTCTTCAGAGCAGAGTCTAACATGCAGCCATTCCTTTAGGAGCCATCTGCTCCACTTGTAACCTCACCCCGACCCCAGGGAGGGGGTAGGCCAGAGAAAAGTAAGACTCAGGCCCTTGCCCAAGGAGCTGTCTCTGTGGGAAAGATGCACACCTCTGCCATGCTGGAGGACAATGACAGAGCCCCTTGTGGCATGCTGATCCCAACTGCCTAAACCTCATGCTGGTCCACAGCTGGCCATGTGGCTCCATTGCAATGCCTCTTTCCTAAAGTCACGCTTTTTTCCCTCAGTGGGGACCCTTTTCCACCTCAGATTCGGTTTAAGAATTGCCTTTGCTGAAAGTCCTCTTTGGTGCCCAAGCCCCACTGGCAGCCTGTCCTGCCTTCAGCGCACACTACCTGGGCCTGGATTATTATAGCAGTTGGAAAGCAGTACTTGCTGGGTCACTTTGAGGAACTCTACCACAGCTGGTAAGCACTCAGGGAAGAAAAGTAATAAAACCAGTCAGAAATAAAATAGAAAGAATGCAAACTACTTTATGCCCCTGAGCCTTGGATCTCCCACTTGTATGAACCAAGAAGGCATAAGACATGGACACTGTCCACTTGGGCCTTCTGACTCTGGCTCTTAGGAGGTCAGAGATGGGAAAAGCTTTGGAAATTGTATAGGCCAACTTCCTCTCTAAACAGATGGGGAAACTGAGGCTAATGATGGAATAAAGGGAGCTAGTGATGGATCCAGAAGTAGGTCCCCTGCCTCCATCTGGATCCAGCCCTGAGATCCTGGCTGGACTCCAGATACTGGCCTCATGCTTTGTTCCTGGCTGCTGGGCCCTAACCTAACCTGCTGCTACTCCAAGCTCTCAGCCTCGCTAGTCCCTGCGGCTGTGGCTCCAGCCGGTCATTACCTTGCTCCAGTCAGGCCACCCCGGGTGGGTGCATGTCTGGAGACCCCTGATGGAGTCTTTCTTTTCCTTCTTGGCCAGGAGATTGAGAGCCATCTACAGGCCGATGTCCTTCATGTCATTCTTGCCCAGAGGTCATGTACATTTGCAGCTCCAGGAAGTGGCCTATGTGGGGGAGGAGAGGATGGCACTGAAGGGCCAGCAGCTGTAATGGGGACAGAATGCCAGCCACCTTGCCCTGGGCCTTGGAGGAACACCAAGAGGGCTTGGCAGTCACCTATAGCCACTGTGTTCACCCAGGGCCCCCATGTGACACGTGCTGTAGAGAGAAAGACACCCACTGCTTGAGCTGGGCCTCCTCTGTGCTCCACAAACATGAGTTGTTTCATATGCATTGTCTGATGTGAGTCTCACAACCAGCCCAGAGGTTATATTTCTAGAGGGGAAATCAATCCTAGGGCAGCATGCAGTCCTTGGGCTCCGAAGTATGGGCCTTTCCATTCCACATGGTGGCTGCTCAGTCAGGTTAGGGACACAAGCCACACACACATGAAAAGGTGCTGAGACCAAAAAGCCAAGGGTTGAGTGAGTGGCTGAGATGGCAGATGTTACTGATACACAAGGAGGAGCTGGAGCAGGCGGAGCTGCTTCCTGGGAGAGTGGGGGTGGGTCAGGTCTTAGAAGAGGGGCAAGAGTCAGAGGAGATGAACAGAAGACACTCTGAGAAGGGAAACTAGCATGAGCCAAGGGCAAGAGGATGGAACACACATGGTAGTTGTGGGGCATGAGGCGCCTGCCTGGCTGGAGCAGAGGACCGTTGAACAGGAGCATCAGGAGGTGGGACTGAGGCTAGAATGAGAAAGGTTTTGGATGCCCAGCTAGGAAATGGGGGCAGGTAGAGGGTATCTGAGCAGGGCATGCCAGGATGGAAAGGGGAGTCAGAGGATATAGGGACAGGGCACAGGCTGGCATCACAGAGACCATTAGGTCTGAGTAGCCTCAGTGACACGCCTACAGTGAGACAGGTTAGCTGAGGTGCTGACCCTTCAGCATTCAGGGCAATAGAAGTTCCCAGGTGGGCAGCTCTGTGTTCAGGCTCTTTCCTCGGTTTTCCTAGACATGGCATACACACGTTACCATTTCCCGTGTGTGCCACAATGTGTGCTGCTTAGCCTGTGCATCTGTGCAGAGTCAGGTCCGGGCTGCTGGATTCCTGGGCTGATGATCACTGCATCCTTCCCCTCCCCCTGGACTAAAAGATTTGTGCAGTTCTCACTAGCTCTCGATGGTTTCATAGGGCACCATGGGCCCAGTTTCCCCTTGGCTTACTGTCTTGGCCATGTTACTATGCAAATGGCCTTAGAAGGGACTCCACATTTTATTTCACATATCAGTGAACTCGAGTAGTGCTGGGTGGTGTGGGAGGGAGGGCGATATACTGTAAAGGATGCCTGCCTGGGAGAGCCCTGACCCCATTCCCCCTCCCGCAGCCACCATACCCCAGAGACGGGTAAGAGAAGAGAGGAGGAGCCCCAGGTGGGAGGGAGGAGGAAGATCTGACCTGACATAGGTTCTCCCTCTCCAAAACAGCTGAGTTTAGACAGTCATCCCATTTCTGGGACACTCTCCTAAGGAAATCATCCAAAGGAGGGAGAAAAAACCTATGTGTACAGACACACTGATGGCAGCTTTACTTACGATAGTGGAGAATTAGGAATAAACAAGATATCCAGTAGTAAAAGCTTGGTTACATAATTTGTGGCAAACCACTAACTGTACCATTCATTAATAGCCATTAACTACTACTACTGCTATTGCTAAATTTATTGAATAGCTACTACTTCTACCACTATTAAGTTTATTGAGCAGTTACTATTACTGCTACTACTACTGAATTTTACTGAGCAGTTGTTAAGCTCCAGTCGCTGCTCTAAGTGCTGTACAGATGATATCTCATCTAATCCTCACAACAATCCTACGAGGTAGGTACCAGTCGCATCCGTATTTTTCACATGAAGAAATTGCAGCAAAGCAGGCAAATAATGTGCCCAAGCCTGTATAGCTACCGAGGGATAAAGATTCAGACCAAACAGAACGACTGAAGCTTAAGCTGTAGAAATTAAAAATGATAAATTGCATTCTTTAACTCAAACCTCGGTATAAAATTAAAATTAAACCAGAGGCCACAAGTTTCAGCTGCAGTTAATGAGAAACTTTGGCTGAAATTTGAGGCAATAAAGGTGTTGACTCGAGTGGAAAGCATTGGGTTAGCTGTTACTCCTTGTTTACATGGATCAGGAGGAAGCAAACAGCTAATATTTACATACCAGTAACTAGAAATTTACATTAAATCTAAACTTTTCCCTTTGCTTACATCATAAAAATCCAGTTTCTAATGAATTAATATACATAAAGGCACTCAGAACAAAGTCGATGCTATTTAAATATTTGCTATAATTGTTATTTACAAGAAAGGGCAAGGAGCTTCACTGCAACATTCTAAAGTTTAACAGTTTTCTTCCAAAGGCTGTTGACTTGGGCTTCAAGACTTGAGATGTTTGTTGAAGTAAGCTGCATCTGTTTGAATGTTTCTTGTAGAAAACTATGTTTGATTACTTGAACTTATAAACTATGTTTATTATTGGAATTGGAATTTACTCATGGCAACCTTGTGAAAATTAAACAGCAAAATAAGATCTAATTCCAATGAACTCAACCAGGATTTAAAAACACACCAATTCTGTTGAAGTTAGAAGCAGATCTAAAGATATTTCTCCTTGTATAAGTTATTCCACAAGTAAAACAAAATGAAACAAAAATAATGAATCTAGCATATTAACTTTAGAACACAGGACAAAGCCTCAGGTCCCACAAAGGTGTCCCCTGAAGACTATGATGTAACCCAGAGAAGCACGTTCTCATACATCTAAGCATTGGCTTAGTAAATAATGTAGAATGTGCACTTGGGTGGGGTGGGGGAGACTGCAGGGGCTGGAGGGGGACATTCGAAACAATCCTTTTTGATGAAAGTATAAAAGAAGGGACCAAACAGTAAAAGAACTCGTATATGATAAGGTGTTTAATCTTTACCTTAGACCACTCTTTAAATGTTTTGACTGCCACCGCATCAGGGGAAACGTTGAGCATTTAACCACAATAAATATATGTGTTTATTTGCATGTTCATTACATTAAAAATGCATGTTGGAGTAAAAAGAACTATATTTACTTTCTCACCTTAAACAACTAGAAAAATGGACAAAATACATAAAACAATGGTCAACAGGTAGTGCAAGACTGTAATTGCCAAGAGGGAAGCAAATGAAGTGAGCCCTGCAATTGCCCCAGCCTGGTGCTGGTCTCACTGAGTGAGGAGAGAGAAATTGGAGTTCAGACGGGAAAGACAACTAGAATTTGCAGGCACAATACTGGGAAAAGGGAACCGCAGAGAGAGAGGGGAGGCAAAAGAGAGGAAGGGAGGGGGGAGGGAGCTAGCTCTGGAAATCTACATAGAGTTTCCCCTAAGCCTTTGGCTAAGCATTAATCTGTACATGTGTAAAAGAAAATTTCCAGAAAACACTAGACTGAGCAGTACCTGGAGCTCAGAGGGTTGGGAATAATCTTTGCTTCCACCAGCAAGACAGGGGAGACCTTGTACTACACAGGGCAGTAGGTAGAGTCCTCAGAGGTGTAACATCTTCCTACTGGGGCTAAATTAGTCCCACAGTAAAGTCTGCTCTGGACTCCCCATACCAAAAGTGAAAGCAAGTCCTGAACAGATGCAAATTATCCTAAATAATGTAACTGTGCACCAGAACAAAGTAAGCACTATTTAAAGAAATACCACAAAATCCAGAATACAACAACATGCAATTCACAATGCCCAGGATCCAATAAAAAATGATCAGGCACGCAAAGAAGAGGGAGAAAGTTAGTAATTAGAAACAGGTCCAGAGAAACGAGATGGCGGCGTAGGTAACAGCTGCACTCGCTGCCTCCCGCAACCACATCAAAATTACAACTAAAATACAGAACCACCAGCACTCAGAGCCTCCTGAGATCTGGCTGCACAGAAGCCCCACAATCAGGGAACTGAAGGAGCAACGAGACCGTAGGAGGGGCGGAGACGCGGGCGGATCGGGGCTGAATCCCGGAGACATGGCCGCGGGCCCACACCCAGTGCCTCGGGTTAAACCCGGGAGGGAATCTCGGTGGTGGAGGTTTCCCGGAGGAGTGAGGGGTCCCAGCCCCACAGCAGGCCCCCAACCCAGGGCTCCAGGGCCGGGAAGAGACGTCCCCACAACTCTGGGCTGTGAAACCAGCGGGGACTGTCCCTGAGGGTGGCGGAGGCTGCGGGAGCCCCAGCAGCTCCTCTTAAAGGGCCCGGCACGGACTCACTCGGACGCTCCC